CTCTCATTTCCCTGAGTCTGACTTGATATAATGTTCTGTATTGAGCAAATGTGGTAGAAATTTGGTAGGGTACAAAGGCCAATAGTTATGATTTGCCAAAAATTGCATTTCATCCAACAAGCATTTTTTTTCAATCTACTTACTAATCACTCACACTGGGAACCAAGGGATGTTAAGATTTGGCTGATTTTCTTGCAGAAATGTTTTGTAATGCACATAATGTAAAGTTACATGTGTTCTTTTTGAAGCTTGGATTCTGTATATGATAAATCCCTTGGGAACAAATTTTCATTGTTAAAAACCCACTCCCTTGAGATAGTTTATTACTATGGGTAATGTGTAACAGAATCAGACTCATCCCTGGTGCTGTGTGCCAGCTAAATTCACCTCCTCCATCTACTCTGCCAAGCCATCTCTTCTTCAGTCTAAACTGACTTGTCTCAAGAAACCACTTCTGACAGTACTGGGTTATTATTAAAAAATGCTTTTAGCTTGCTTAGTGCTTTAGTGTCTACAAAGTACATTTATATACATATATATATATATAGTCACAACAACCTGCCGTAAGCAGAAGACCTGTTATTATCCCTAAATGACTAAAGAAGCAGAGGTTCAGGGAGTTCAAGTGACTTACACAAGATCCCACACCCATTGACTAATGAACCTAGATGTTTTGACTCCAGATTTTTTTCTTTCAATTTTTGCTTTAGTCTTTATTTTTTAGAGCAGTTTTAGGTTCACAGCAAAATTGAGTGGAAAATACAGGAGTTCTCATATACTCCCTACAAGTTTTTTTTTTTCTTTCGTTAAAATTTGCTGCCTGGTCCACATCACTTGAGGACTTATTTAAACTTGAAAAATTAATTGTAAGCTCACCTGGAAGAAGAAATTGGTAAAATTGGTTCAGATGTTTTTGATGTATAAAGAGTAATCATGGCACAAAAACAGTCACTGAGATCAACAGAACAGAATAGAGAACCCAAAAATGGACCCACAAACATATGGCCAACTAACCTTTGACAAAGCAGGAAAGAATATCCAATGGAATAAAGACAGTCTCTTCAGCAAGTGGTGTTGGGAAAACTGGACAGTGACATGCATAAAAATGAACGTGGACCTCTTTCTTACACACAAAAATAAACTCAAAATGGATGAAAGACCTCAATGCAAGACAGGAAGCCATCAAAATCCTTGAGGAGGAAGCAGGCAAAAACCTCTTTGACCTTGGGCACAGCAACTTCTTACTCAACATGTCTCTGGAGGCAAGGGAAACAAAAGCAAAACTGAACTATTGGGACCTCATCAAAATAAAAAGCTTCTGCACAGGGAAGGAAACAATCAGCAAAACTAAAAGGCAACCGATGGAATGGGAGAAGATATTTGCAAACAACATATCAGATAAAGGGTTAGTATCCAAAATCTATAAAGAACTTATCCAACTCAACACCCAAAAAACAAATAATCCAGTGAAGAAATGGGCAAAAGACATGAATAGACACTTCTCCAAAGAAGACATCCAGATGGCCAACCAACACATGAAAAAATGCTCCACATCTCTTATCACCAGGGAAATACAAATCAAAACCACAATGAGATACCACCTCACACCTGTCAGAATGGCTAACATTAACAACTCAGGCAATGACAGATGTTGGTGAGGATGTGGAGAAAGAGGATCTCTTTTGCATTGCTCGTGGGAATGCAAACTGGTGCAGCCACTCTGGAAAACAGTATGGAGGTTCCTCAAAAAATTAAAAATAGAACTACCCTATGACCCAGGAATTGCATTACTAGGTATTTATCCAAGGATACAGGTATGCTGTTTTGAAGGGGCACATGCACCCCAATGTTTATAGCAGTGCTATCAACAATAGCCAAAGTATGGAAAGAGCCCAAATGTCCATCAATGATGAATGGATAAAGAAAATGTGGTGTGTGTATACACACACACACACACACACACACACACACACACACACACACAATGAAGTATTACTCGGCAATCAAAAAGAATGAAATCTTGCCATTTGCAACTATGTGGATGGAACTGGAGGGTATTATGCTAAATGAAATTAGTCAGTCAGAGAAAGACAAATATCATATGACTTCACTCATATGAGGACTTTAAGAGACAAAACAGATGAACATAAGGGAAGGGAAGCAAAAATAATATAAAAACAGGGTGGGGGGGACAAAACATAAGAGACTCTTAAATATGGAGAACAAACAGAGGGTTACTTACTGGAGGGGTTGTGGGAGGGGGGATGGACTAAATGGGTAATGGCATTAAGAAATCTACTCCTGAAATCATTGTTGCACTATATGCTAACTAACTTGGATGTAAATTAAAAAAATAAATTAAATAAGAATACAAATTAAAAAAAAAAAGAAAGAGTAACCAGAGGAGGTTTGCTGTACCAGTAATTAAGATACAAATATCTAATATTTACCGAATGCCTAGTTGTACTAGGAAGCTTTACAACTGCCCTAAAAGGTAGCTACTATGATTACCTTCATTTTACAGATGAAGAAAATAAGGCAAAGGGAAATTAGTGACTTTTCCAAGGTCACATGCATGGATGGAGCTGGGATTTTAGACCAATCAATTTGACTTTAAGCCCTCTTTCTTAACACCATACTTGTTTCTCTCATATTATATAATCTGAATAATTAAAATAGCTGAAAACTCAGGTAGATCAATGAAATAGAACAGACAGCTCAGAAGAAGACTCTAATATATATAAGACTGAAGATTAATTTAAGCTGAGAACTCAAATCTGTGGATAACACAGACTGTATTCAATACCTGGCTCCAGAGAGATGATAGAGTGCTGTGGTTAGATGCACAGGCTTTGGTATCAAACAAATCTAAGAGTAAATAGCAGCTCACTCACTCCCTAGCTTTCTGACCTTGGCATAAAAGCAGTGACTTACTCATGGAGGCATGTAAATTGCTTCATGTGGTGTGTTACACAAAAGAAGCACTCAATAAACATTAGCTATTTTTATTAGCACTCAGTAAACACTAGCTGTCATTATTATTGGCATGGGAGAATTAAAGCTAGGATCTTCATACCATACACAATTTCCAGTAAGTGGAGAAAAAAGAAGTTAAAAATAGAGTAGGTCTATCTAATTTTAGCATGAGGAAAATTTTTCTAGTTATAAAAACAAGGGGAAAAATCTTAATACAAAATATTGATACTTGTACAATAATAAAAGTTAATTTAAATACTATGACTAGGTGTTTTAAAACAGTTGAAATATGATGTAAAATTAGATACTAAATTTACCAGTATACTGAATTTACTAATTTAAATTTAAAAATTCCTGGAGATTCAACCAATAAAGAGTAATTTCTAGTGAAACTAAGTTTAAAATTTTAAATACAATAATAATTGCAATTTTTAAAACAATTCACTAGAAATTACTCTATGGTGATTAAATCACCAGGAATTTTCAGCACAAGATCTAACAATTTAACATGACCACTGTGGCCTGAGCTCTGGGCTTGCTCTGCCTTTCCTAATCCTTAAAGGGTTTTAAAGAGAAAGACACCATTAAAGAGAATGAGTCAGATGATTGCAGGTCCTTCTTTCCCAGTCATTGCACAAGCTGCTCAATTCTCATCCAGAGCAGGAAAGTGGCAGTATTTCTTTTCTTAATGTTTATTTACTTTTGAGAAAGAGAGAGAGAGAGAGAGAGAGAGAGAGAGAGAGAGAGAGAGAGACAGCATGAGCAGGGAGGGGCAGAGAAAGAGATACAGAATCTGAAAGAGACCCCAGGCTCTCAGCTGTCAGCACAGAGCCTGATGTGGGGCTTGAACTCATGAACCATGAGATCATGACCTGAGCCAAAGTCGGACACTTACCACTGAGCCACCCAGGAGCCCCAGAGGCAGTATTTTAGAAAAATCTAATAAAGAATTTGACTTTACATTATAAAATCTCTCTTAATTTAGATTTATCAATAGTATTAAAATTTATTTGCTTCTGATCTAAACATTTCTCATTTTGCAATTTACCTTTTTGATGTAATTTTATTTTATTTTTTAAAGTTTATTATTATTTTTTAGTAATCTCTACACCCAACATAGGGCTCGAACTCATGACCTTGAGATCAAGAGTCACATACTCTTCCAACTGAGCCAGCCAGGTGCCTCTGTGTGTATGTAATTTTAAAGAAATGTTTTAAATACTAAGTATGTATCCCATTTAAAACATAACCCACAAAGCAATAGTAGTTATTTTCTCACCGAAGTCCAGGTGGGAACCTGGAGTGAAAATAAAGCATGGTTGAAACTGGGTGCACTTTGGAGTCAGATAGACCTGGGGTCACCCCTGGCTCTGCCTTTTTCTAGCTGTATGACTCTAAACAAATTGCCACATTTTGTGGCACTATTAGTGTCCTCCCCTGTAAAATGGAGATGATAATCCTCTCTCTCTCTCTCACTATCTCAGTTGTTCTAAGTAGTATAGATAATAAATGTAAAGCATCAGCTCCACTGTCTAGCCAGAGTAGAAATTTTGTCAATGCTTGCTGTGGTTACTATCACCTCCTAATTGTTTGATTCTTACCACCTCCTAATTGTTGATAGTTAACTTGCTGAAATGTTTAGTTTCCCATTTGAGGTACACGGGGACTAGTTTCATATTTCCTTGGAACAGTGCTTTCCCTATGGCTGGCGTTTCTTTCCCTGACTTCTTTTCTTCTCTCCCTCCTCTCCACTGTTTTCACACAGGATCCTGTGCTGGTCACCTGACAAGGCTGATTGACTGGTAAGTCGGGTAGCACAGACTGACTTATTTCCGTGAGTTACCAGGAAAAGAAGGGTTGTGTGTGCATGTATGTACATACTTTTTTCACATTACAAACACAACAAGCAAAGCAATAGAGTGACTTGCCCAGGGTCCCACAGGCTCTGCGTCTCTTCTTGCCTATCTACGCATCACACGCCTCATAAAAGTATATGATTCTAAAGATTTCAGAGGGCTCCCTACATTTGAATTATGGCTTCTTGTAGTCTCTTCACAGCAGTATTGAGGATTGTCTTCCATTTCAGAATTTCCAATTTTGAGTGAGGATGTTGAAAGATCCAGCCTTAAAACAACAACAACACACATAGTAACTCAAAATGGCTATTTAAAAATTTATCTCCACGTCAGTACTCACTAGATAAATCCTGCTCAGCTATCAGTCTACCCAAGCCTACTTGAAAAAGGAACCAAAATCCATTCATATTAAAGTGTAAGCAATTAGCTTAAGAATTACCTCTTCTCAGGAGATTTTAACTAAAATGGGATCAAAGCTTTAACCCCAAGGAATTAAATCCCTATGATGACATCTGAGGAAGTAGAGGCCTTTTAAAAATGCCTACATACCCGTAAGACCTACAGATCAGATTCTTCAGCATTCCCCAGTCCCGGGACAGAATCCCATCTCTCAAGAGAGAATATTTTATTGGTAGTCAGTAGACGTGGGTTCTGTTCCTGAGTCTTCTCTGTGGACTCTGGAGGAAAAGAAGCACTTTCTTTCTAGGCAAGGAGCATGTGACTCTAGGGGCAGTGACCATCTCCTTATCTTCACTGTGTGAACAAGCCTAACCATAGAAATCTGCCAAGCAGGGATGGACAGAGAAGAATCCCTGCAAGTGTTGAGTCATACATCCTGCCTTGGACCTTTGCTCCTGTGGTTCTTCCTTTAATCTTGTGAGTTACCCCCAATACACGAGCACAGGATTCTCCTGTAGCTGAAGCTAGTGTGAGTTGGGTTCTTGTCACCTACAGCTTAAAGATTCCTGACTAACATAATCAATCACATTCAGGTTCATCATCACTGGATCAAGAGAACCATCCTTACCTCAGATTGGAAAGGCTGAACAAATTCTATCCTCATTTCCTTAGGGTTAGATAATGCACTGTTGCCAGCCTCCCACTGTGGGATTTCAGTCCTGCCTTTTAATGACTAAAGGCTGGCTCCTTGCTCACAGACTATCTGCTTGTCATTCAGTTTCCTGCTGAGGGATTTCCTGTCACTGACTTTACCTACCTATTTGGACTCCTGGGCATTTTCATGCAGAACTCTCTGGATACCTTATAATTTACTTCATTCCTATTTGCTGTTTTGCCCTACTTACTGTGCTTATTCTTAGCATATGCGTATTTCCTCAACATCTATCCCTCTTCAGTGAGACAGTTCCAGTCCTAACTTGATTCCTAAATACATCAAATTCAGAAGCATATGTAGGGAATGGGGAAGTATGGGAGGGACACTGGACTCCTAAAAGCATATTCCCTAAAAGCAGAAACTTCAACAGGTCTTAAAGTTCTTAGATTATGATGAAAAGATTATGAGAAGCAAATCTATGAGACCCATGGCAGTCAGCCCCAACTCCTACTCACTCCGAGCCACACAGCTATATTATGTCTGTATTTCAAGGGATGACGAGGTTCCCTTTTCCTAACAACCTATATCTTATCCCTTTTATAACCTCATAAAGGGATCATCTGTATTCTTCCTAGATTTGTGTAACCATAATCTTCCTTGGGAAGTCTCCTTTATAACACTTAAACAATTTAAGAACCAATTTTTGCCTTTTAACCCAGAAGGTTTGGTTCCTAGTCCAAGTTAGTATGTTTTTGTGATGGAAGGCCCTGGGTGCTCTTCTGGGGGGACAGGCATGTCATTGTTCCTGAAGCTAGTTTCTCAGAACCATGAAGAAAAAACTCCTAAGATACAAGAGTGGAGAAATCAGGGAAGGCTGGGGGTGGGGTGGGGGTGGGGGCTGCATTTGAAAACTTTTTGACTTGGAATCCATGAACTTAAATATCTGTCTTTGACTGAGGTTATACTATGAGGATGACTGAGAGAGTTTTCAAATTCAGGGAATGTAAGTGATTCTCTGCTTGCTCATTAGAGTCGACCCTAATTTGGGTGGGTAAAGGGATCTTACCATTTTCTAAACAGATCTTGGATAACAGGGAGAAGTGGATGACAACAGGTAAATGGCTATCCTGCGGGATCTGTGAATACTGGTTTTGTTTGACAAGAGCTAGGAAAAAAGGAAAGAGGAAGAAGATGAGAGGGCAGAGGGGAAAGAGAAGAGAAAGTGAATATTTTGCTAAATCATCATCAACACAAAAAACAGTTGTCAATATTTTAATATTCTTATGAGGGCATTAGCAAAATTTTCCATAAGTACCCATAGTGACTCATGAAATATTTTAATTTACTCTAGAAATGAAACTGTTTTTTAAAATTAAATATCTTTGCATAACTTCTTGATTTACTAAAAGATTGTGTTTATGCTTTTGTTCTAAGAGTTGCCCTGTCACATGAGAACCACTAAAAAAAATTCATGTTTTACTTTCATTTATTTTTTTAGCAATGGGATAATAGTTAGCAGCCTGTTCTGGTTAAAAAAAAAAAAAAAGGCTACATGGACACAAAGCCTCTCTGTATCATTAAGTTTTGTGCTAAAATGTAAACCTAATTCATTTTTTTTTTTTAAGTTTATTTATTTACTTTGAGAGAGAGAGAGAGAGTGATCTGGGGAGGGGCAGAGAGAGAGAGAGAGAGAGAGAGAGAATCCCAAGCAGGCTCCCCACTGCCATTGTGGAGCCCGGTGCAGGGCTCGAACTCACAAACCATGGGATCATGACCTGGGCCAAAATCTAAAGTTAGACACTTAACGGACTGAGCCACCCAGGCACCTCAAAATGTAAATTAAGACAAGAAATTCTATTAGTGTATGAAGTGGAATGAAGTCATCTTATAAAATAAAATTAGAGGGGCGCCTGGGTGGCGCAGTCGGTTAAGCGTCCGACTTCAGCCAGGTCACGATCTCGCGGTCCGTGAGTTCGGGCTCTGGGCTGATGGCTCAGAGCCTGGAGCCTGTTTCCGATTCTCTGTCTCCCTCTTTGTCTGACCCTCCCCCGTTCATGCTCTGTCTCTCCCTGTCCCAAAAATAAATAAACGTTGAAAAAAAAATTAAAAAAAAATAAAATAAAATTAGATCTTAAAATCTATCTAAAAATAAAATATTTAGGGATATTTTGAAAAGAAAGTAAAACTCATGGTAGCTTCTTAAACTTTATATATGAATTGGGAAGTCCTTATTTCCAGGAATCCATACAAATAGTCTGCATCTAAAATTTAAAAAAATAAAAATTAAAGTAAAGTAAAGTAAAAAGATGAGAAAATTACAATGATAAAAGTAAAAGAAATAAGGGTACAAGTAAGAATATGCACAATAACTATGGCTAATATTTATTAAGCACTTACCATATGCCAGGCACTATGCTAAGCACATTACATGCATTATAAATTAGTTTATTTCTTTCAACAAAATTCTACAATTAATCATCCTCATTTTACAGAGGAGGAATTCAGGTAAGTCTAGAATAAGAGCTAGAAAATTTGCTAGTACTTGTTCTAAGTTCCTAGTGATGTTGATGCACTGGTTCCGGAACCGCACTTTGAAAACTGCTACAGAGCATTCCAATCTTTTTATTAACAGCAATCACTTGTTCTTAAAGAGTGAAAATTGTATTGCTAGAATTATCTTGCTCAAGGCAAATGCATTAGGCTTCATGAACCATCAGGAACCTGTAATAATACCTATATACCAAAGGGTTACTCTGAGGATAATATGAGATAATGGAAATAATAATAATAAAATAACAGGGGTGCCTGGGTGGCTCAGTCAGTTAAGCATCTGACTTTGGCTCAGGTCATGATCTCATGGTTCATGAGGTCAAGCCCTGCATTGGGCTCTCTGCCGTCAGAGCAGAGCCTGTTTGGGATTCTCTCTCTCTCTCTCTCTCTCTCAAAATAAATAAACATTAAAAAAATAATAAGATAACAAATACATAAGTAGTGTCTACCACTGGGTGATGAATGGAAGTGTTTAACCAGTATATTGCACACCTGAAACTAACATGACACTGTATGTTAACTGGAATTTAAATAAAAACTTAAAAAAAAAAGTAGTATCTACTATATCTAGATACTTTTCCAAGTGTTTTAGTGTTAACTTATTTAATATTCAGAACCACCCTGGAAAGAGATATGGTTTTTAGTACGATGTTACAGATAATGAAACTGAGACAAAGAGGGGTTATGAAGTGTGTTCATAATTATATGAGCTCAAAGTTATATAAGCAGTAATGCAATAGCCAGGATTTGGACCCAGGAATCCTAAAAGCAAAGGCTTAATCACTACACTAGTTTACTTCTCTATCTCAGAGGGGTCATTGTAGAGATAGCAACCACTACTATTTATTCTCATTGTCAAAATCATTATCACTATTACAATAGCAGAATGAGAATTAGGGATAAGACAGCAGAAAGGCTACTATATTGGGAGTTAGAAGACCAGGGTTGGGATCACGGCTCAATCAGAAACTGTATGACTTTGGGCAAGTTACTCAGCCCTTTGGAATCTCAGTTTTCTTCTTAGTGAAACAGAAACCCTATTAGCTGCCTGACAGGGATATCTGGACAACTAAATTAGATAATAGCTAGAAAGATCCCTATGATCTATAAAATGTTATAATCGAATATGATTTTAATATTTAAAATATCAGCTCTTTTGCTATGTTGAAACTTGCTTGTATATATCAACACAATAGAAGCTAAAGTGAGAAATCTTAAAAGTACTGAAAATAAAGCTTCACTCTGGGGGTAAAAGTGGGGTCTACCTGTACTCTCCAGAATGTAGTGCTAAGCTCTGGTGAGGTTCTTCATCCTTTTTACATTGCATGTTTGTGCCAGTCACTCATATCTCCCTATTAAGTTTTCTGAAATTATTATCAGCAAAAATTTCAGACCTCTAAGATTTTATTATTATTTTTAACATTCTTGGGTTTGGTACTTGCAAATGTTTTCAGCATCTGACAAGAGCATCAATGTCTTGGAATTAAATAGGTAACTTCATCAAAAAAAATTTTTTTTAACATTTATTTTTGAGAGAGAGAGAGACAGAGAATGAGCAGGGGAGGGGCAGAGAGAGAGGGAGACACAGAATTGGAAGCAGGCTTCAGGCTCTGAGCGGTCAGCACATAGCCCAATGAGGGGCTCGAACCCATGAAGCATGAGATCATGACCTAGCCAAAGTCGGACGCCTAACCGACTGAGCTACCCAGGCACCCCAGTAACTTCATCTTAACAGTGAAAAATCTAGAGGCTAAGAACAGGCAAAGATCAGGTGGCAGGAGAGAGCAACATTCTGAGAGGACGATGGTCCCTCAGAAGTGAGGGAAGAAGAAAGCAGAATTGATTTCTCCAAGAGGCACATGACATGTCTAGAAGCCCCCCAAAATGTTTTAATTTTAGTTTCTTTTAAAGCAGAAGAAGAAACTGAATAAGACAATAATGAATAAATAATAGTGAGTCTAGCTGGATTAGATTTATCTTTGTAATAATGCAGTCATAAGATATAGTTTTTAATAACTTCTATGAAGTAAGGGACACAGTGAAGGGAAAAGCACCAGAGCCCACAAAAGCCCTAATTTGGCCCAGGGAGTGAGGGAACACAAATGTGATCGTAGGCAGAAAGGAACTGTGGAAGCAGCATCAACTCAAGTGTCTCTAAAATGGGCCATTTTGTAATATTTCACATATATATCATATTATCACAAGTTCCTGGTTTCAGGCTTACAGACTCAACTCTTCTCACTCTGAAATTAAATGCCCCCTGTGTATATATACCTGCCCTTTCACTCAGTTCCTTTTATTTACCGCCTTATAAGAAGGAAAGCTTCCTTTTTCACAGTTAGCTTAGTCCCCCATCTTGTTTTCTATTGTGATAAAGTATACATAATACAAAAATTTACCATTTAACCATTAAGATATTTTTATTGTGGTTAAATTTGCATAATGTAAAATTTACCATTTTAACCATTAAAATTTTTTTTTAATGTTTATTCATTTGTGAGAGACAGAGAGAGACAGAGCGTGAGTGGGGGAGGGGCAGAGAGAGAGGGAGATATAGAATCCAAAGCAGGCTCCAGGCTCCAAGTTGTCAGCATACAGCCCGACTTGGGGCTTGAACTCACAAATTGTGAGATCTTGACCTGAGATGAAGTCAGATGCTTAACCAACTGAGCCACCCTGGTGCCCCCCATTTTAACCATTCGTAAGTGTACAGTTTTGAAGCATTAAGTTCATTCAAGTTCATTTACATTGTTATACAATCATCACCACCACCATTCATCTTCAGAAAGCTTTCTTCTTCCTCAATTGAAATTCTATAACCATTTAACAGTAACTGCCTAACCTCCCTTCCTGCCAGCCCCTTGCAACTACCATGCTACTTTCTGTCTCTACGAATTTGATTACTTTAGGTATCTCATGTAAGTGGAGTCATGGTATATTTGTCCTTTTGTTCTGGCTTACTTCACTTAGTATAATGTCTTCAAGGTTCATCTACATTATAATGTGTATCAGAATTTCATTCCTTTTTAAGGCTGAATAACATTCCACTATATATATATACCATAATTTGTTTAACCATACACCTGTCTATGGACGTTTGAGTTGTTTCCACCTCTTGGCTATTGTAAATAATGCTGCTATAAACATTGGTATACAAACATCTGTTTGAGTCCCTGCTTCTAATCACCTCCAGTTGAAGATAACTTCTTCTAGGCCTCAAATTATTTTTTTTAGTTTATTTAGTTATTTGGAGAGAGACAGATTGGTAGAGAAAGAATCCCAAGCAGGTTCTGAGCTGTCAGCACAGAGTTTGATGCAGAGCTCGATCCGCAAACCATGAGATCATGACCTGAGCTGAAACCAAGTGGGGTGTTTAAACGACTGAGCCACCCAGGCACCCTTGGCCTCAAATTATTTTTAAAAACAATGTCTGACACAAGACAAAAATAATCATATTCACAAGGAATCAAGAGAACATGAATGAGAGCCAGCAGAAACAAAAGGAGGACCCCACAATAGATTCACATAAATATGCCCATCTGGGGGCGCCTGGGTGGCTCAGTCGGTTAAGCATCCGACTTCGGCTCAGGTCATGATCTCACAATCCGTGAGTTTGAGCCCCGCGTCGGGCTCTGTGCTGACAGCTCAGAGCCTGGAGCCTGCTTCACATTCTGTGTCTCCCTCTCTCTCTGACCCTTCCCTGCTCATGCTCTGTCTCTGTCTCAAAAATAAATAAACATTAAAAAAAATTTTTTTTGATAAATATGCCCATCTGATTTGTGAGAAAGATACAAAAGCAATTCAATGGAGGAAAGACAGCATTTTCAACAATGATGCTGAAGCAACTGGACAACCATAGGCAAAAAAATGAACCTCAGTGTAGGTCTCACACTTTATACAAAAGGTAATGCCAAGTGGGTCATGGACTTAAATGTAAAATGTAAAACTAAAATGTAAAACTATAAAACTTTTAGGGAAAAAAATAGGAGAAAACCTTCAGGATTTAGGGGTAGGCAGAGAACTCTTAGCTTGATACCAAAAAAACTGTTCAAAAAAGATTTTTCAAAAGTTGGGCTTCATCAAAATTTAAAACTTTTTCTTTGCAAGGGACCCTATTAAAAAGATGAGAAGACAATGGGAGAAAATATTTGGAAAGCACATATACAACAAAGGACTAGTATCTAGAATATATAAAGAACTCTCAAAATTCAACAATTAAAAAAACAATCCAATTAGAAAATTAAGCAAAGACATGGGAGATATTTCACTGAAGAGGATATACAGATGACAAATATTCAATATCATTAGCCATTAGAGAAATGCAAATTAAAACTATAGTGAGATATTACTACACACCTACAAGAATGGCTAAAATAAAAAGTGGTGATAATACCCAAATGCTGGTGAGAATATGGAGAAATGGTATCACTCATACATTGCTGGTAGGAATGTAAAACAGTAGAGCCATGGAGTGCCCGGCTGGCTCAGTCAGAAGAACATGTGGTTCTTGATCCTGGGGTCGTGGGTTCAAGCCCCATGTTGGGTGTAGAGATTACTTAAATAAAACTTAGAAACAAAAACAAAAACAAAACAAAAAACCAGTACAGCCTCTCTGGAAAATAGTTTGAAAGTTTCATATAAAAGTAAACATGCAGTTGCCACATAGCCCAGCAATTGTACTTCTGGGCATTTATCAAAGAGGAATCTAAACTTATATTTACATAAATCCTATACCCAAATGTTTTAGCAGCTTTCATAATAGCTAAAAACTAAAAGAAAAAAACCCCAAACAAACAAACAAACAAACCCAAATACCTAGATGTCCTTCAAGGAAGGAATGGTTAAACAAACTGTAGTACATTCATACCATGGAATACTACTGGGCAATAAAAAGGAACAAGCTACTGATACATACTACTTGGATGTATCTCCAGAGAATTAAGCTTGCTGAAAAAAGGCAATCACCAAAAGTTATACATTGCATGATTCCATTTATATAACATCCTTGAAATGACAAAAATATAGAAATGTATAACACGTTGGTGGTTGTCAAGATTAAAGAGGGGGTGGAAGAAGGAGGGAAGTGGGTGTGGTTGCAGAAGGACTCCATGAATGATTTTGCCTTGATAGAAATGTTTTGAATCTTGACTGTATCAATGTCAATATCCTGGCTGTGATATTGTACTATAGTTTTGCAAGATGATGTCATATAGAGAAAGGGTAAGGGTATATGGTATCTCTCTGTATGTGGATCTACAATCATCTTAAAATAAAAAGTTAATTAAAAAAATTACATATGTGGCTAGCATCATATTTATTTTGGACCCTGCCACTGTAAAAGTATTTGTAGGATCCCTTAAGGCAGAGAGTTCATATCACATGAATGTAAAGTGTAACAGATGCTTACAATGAAAGCACTATAAATTTTTGTATCTTTCTCCTGACAGTCACTAACACTTATTAAAATTATTAACACAAACCAATATATATCACTAATATAATGTTTTGTCAACATCTCACTCACTTGCTATTTTTATTCATTTTTTTAAAATGTTTGTTTATTTTTGAGAGAGAGAGAGTGTGCGATAGTGAGTGCGCATGAGTGAGGGGGGAAAGGCAGAGAGAGAGGGACAGAGAGAATCCCAAGCAGGCTCCACACCCAGTGCAGAGCTCCACGTGGGGTTCAGTCTAACAAACCTGAGCTGAAATCAAGTCAGGCGATGAACTGACAGAGCCACCCGGGCGCCCCTTTATTCCTTTAAAAAAAAAAAAGAAACCTGGAGGATTATTTACAAATCTAATTAACTTCTACTCACCCAATGAAACAGAGTGGTCTTTTTTTGCTTTCACAAGATGATTTTCCTTATGATATTCCTCTTTTGCACAGGTGCTGATTTGGGTCATGTTTCTGGAATCTCTTTTTAAGGCATTGTTTTTCTTCAAATTTTTCGTTGCACACTTACAAACACCTTCAATAAGATCATGCCAGCTGTAATTCATAAGATTTACAATTCCCGCAGGGAAAGTAATTTTATACTCAGCATATTTCTGCAATATCTCCCCAAGTTCACTCAGTATTTCAGCAGCAATCAGTTTCTATTCTTCAAATAGATTCTTTTGCCGGTATATTTTGGTGAATCGAAGGTTAGATGAAAACTTGGAAACACCAGAAATTTGTGAGATCCCAGATGAATGGAATTCAACTTTCTTCTCACATTCAGATACTGTAGATAGTCTTGCTTCCTTTTGTTCTTTAGATACTGTACTGTTTGTATGACTGTAAAAAACATATGTAAGCCTTAAAAGATATTTTATTTTCTTTAACTCAGTAATTCAACTTCTGGAAATCCATCTTAAAATGTAATAAAAAGGATGTATAATATCTGTGAATAAAATTGCTAACTGTAACATTATTTGTTGATATTAGAAAAAATTGAAAAAAAAATAATGGCCCATAAGGATATAGCTAAGTAAATAGTGCCATGCTCATACAATGGGTAGCATGAAGAATTGTTTGGAAAATTGCTCTTAATAATTTGGGAAAATGCTTACATTATAATATTATATAAAGATTATACACGGTTATATATGTGGAATGATCTCAAATGTAAATGTATGCACCATATATCTGCTAGTACAGAAACTAAGCAAATATCCTCCAAAAAAGTAAATTGATTATGGGATTGTAGAAGTCATTTTTTTGCCTTCTTTTATACTTTATACTTTTCTAACTTTTCTACAATTAATATTTATTACATTTATGAACAGAAGATAAAAACCAGTATGTGTGTGTACTGCTTATTCATTACCTTAATAAAAGACAAGACAGAGGTCGTTTCTTCCAAAGAGCCTTCCCTGAATTTCTTAGGTTAGACTACAAACACGTTGTATGTTCCCTTAGCCTGTCCTACACACCCCATCAGATGTTACTACATTATACTGAAATTCCCAAGCAACAACAGAAACAGATCTGCAAAGGTCTAGATATCTCATATATTGGAATTTTCAGCCACAGTTTACAAAACAACTATGCATACCATGTTTAAAACTTGCAAGTGATCTACTCCTTTTGGTAATAGCATCTAGGTAATTCAAAGTAACCCTTTCTTGGAGACAACTAGAAAAGCTGGACCAAAAAAAAATTTTTTTTCTTAAAGGCTACAGAGAGCTAACAAGATAGTGAGGAGTTACTATCAGTATCTGGAAGAAGATTGAAATCCAAAGAGAAAAACCCCATATTTTCCCCCTTTGTGGAAGGTTAGAGGTATGGAAGGAAAATTTACCAATTCTATAAGATGCATCTGAGAGGCTTAAAGACTGGTCAGGACTTTTGATAGCTTTGTGGGGGCTAAGTGTTCAAAATTTGGAATCTAGGGCCTTCCATGGCAAGGTTATTGGTTGAGACTCGAAAGGCTGTGGCCTAGGAGTAAGGGTTTCCAGAAGTACAACTAGACCAGCACATTATAACACAGCTTCAAATTATCTCATTTCCTGACATTGAATTAAGGTGACCCCTAAGTGTTGCTATCCACAAACTCCTGACGGAAACAAATGTAAATCTCGTCCAGTAGAAGTTGACTTCATCCTAGCCCTCAAATAATTTTTTTAAAAGTTTTTTAAAAGTTTTTAGAAGTTTACTTTGAGAGAGAGAGAGAGAGAGAGCGCGCACGCGAGCTGGGGAGGGGCAGAGAGAGAGGGAGGGAGAATCCCAAGCAGGTTCAGCACTGTCAGTGCAGAGCCTGATGCAGGGCTTGAAATCACAAACCGTGAGAACATGACCTGAGCCAAAATCAAGAGTCAGAGGCTTAACTGAATGAGCCACCCAGACGCCCCCAAATTATTTTTAAAAATAGTTTTCAAATACAATATGTGACACAAAGTGTTTTAAAACACAAGATTTACAAGGAATCAAGAGAACGTGAATGACAGCCAGTAGAAACAGCAACTAATAAAATAGAACCATAGGGAGATATATAGTTTAACATAACTCTGCTTACGATGACTAAGGAAATTGAGAATGTTTGCAAAGAACTGAAAGCTACACACACACACACATACACACATGAGCATGTTTGAAAAAGAACCAGATAGAAATTATAAAGCTGAAAAATATCATAAGCCAAATTAAGAACTCAGTAGATGGGTTTAACAGCATATTAGACACAAAGCTGAAAAGAAAATTAGTTAAACGAAAGACAAGTCAGAAGAAAATCTTCACAATGAAGTATCGAAAGATAAAATTGAGCAGAAGTAAGATCATAAAATACCATCTGTTTATAGTCATCAAAATTTACTATTAATTTAAAAAATAAAAGGATAAAATGGAGGGGGATCCTGTTGGTAAATTAAAACATGTGTGTTATTTGACTCACCCCATGAATTTATATATATAGCACTAACCAACTCAGCCACTCAGGTGCCCCTCATATTGACTTCTAAAGATGTAGAGCTACACTGTATGTATACTAGTATTTCACGCTAATATCTATATTAATATGGAATGTATATAAAAGGGAACATACAATTCCATGGCCATTGCTATCGAGAGAGAGTTTTGGCACTCTCTTGGGCCAAAGTTGTTCACCTTTGATAAGACCGTCTGAATTCTTAATGTTTTAACTCTACTACCAAAGTGATTATGGTTAAGATTTGGCCTACCATGTATCTAAACTACCAGGAGAGAGAATGTACTGCTGATCAAGTGGCATTTAAGTCTATTGCTTCCTAGAGGAATTCTTCCAAAACAGCTAGAAATTAGTGGCACCCCCACGCCCTTCCCAGTCCCACAGACATTTTTGGTTGATAAGTCCATATCCCAGGTGCTGATTACCCCATCTCTGGGCCCTTAAAATGCACAGGGTTTGAATCTAGGGGGTAGAGACTAAAGGAAGGTCAGACTTCAGCTGACTCTCTCTTACAAGGCATTACCAACAGCCTAGTTTTACAAATTTCTTCAGTGTTTTTCTCCACACACTTTTAGGAACTGATACAGTTCCTGCCAACTACAAATCATTTATCTGCCCCCTTAATGGCAAAATTCCTTTTCTTTATTATGATAAAATTCACATAAAATTTACCATTTTAACCAATTTTAAGTGTACAGTCCTAAAGCATTGAGTATATCCACATTATTGTGCAAACATTGCTATCATTCATCTCCAGAACTTTTTCATCTTCACCAATGAAACTCTGTACCCATTAACACTAACTCTCCATCCCTCCTGTGGAGGTTCAGAGCATACCACCCCAAAATATGCCATTTTAGCATATTGATTATATTGAGTTAAAGGCACTTGAAAAATGGCAAATGGAAGAAGTGCATTCTGACCTTCCTTTTTCTTCCTGAAAGCAGGAGCTAAAACCCTCTGGTGAAACATACCCTCCCTATAACAGGAGGAAGAAACATTCTTACCACCAAAGATTAAGTTGAGGTCAGGAAAAATCTGTACAAACAAATTTTGTTAAACTCTTACCTTCTGAGTCATTTCTCAAGGATTAATTGCTCTAGCCTACCCCTTTGTCTTCTCACATTTTCACAGTTTATTATTTTGTCCGACCTAGCATATAAGCATTCAACTCTGTTCCATTGGGTATTTGTTCTACACTTAAAAATTACTAGATAAAAATGTTTTTCTCCTACTGATCTGTCTTATATCCATCCCGGTAGTAGATCCTGAGAAGGTAGAGGAGACATTATATACCCTATATCACTCACTCCACCCCCAGCCCTGGTAACCACCATTCTACTTTCTGTGTCTACAATTTTGACTACCCTATGAACTTCATATAAGAGGAATCATACAATATTTGTTCATTTGTTACTGTCTTATTTCATTTAGCATAACGTCTTCAAGGTTCAGCCATGTTGCAGCATGTGTCGGAATTTCCTTTTTAAGGAGTAACATTCCATTGTACGTGTATACCACGCTTTGTTTATCCCCTCATCTGTCAATGGACTTGGGTTGCTTCCACCTTTTTGGCAATTATGAATAATACTGCTATGAACATGGGTATATACTACCTGTTCAAGTCCCTGATTTCACTTCTAGAATTGTAATTGCTAGATCATGGTAACTCTATGTTTAATTTTTTGAGGAAATGTCATATAATTTTCTACAGTCACTGCATCATTTTACAGTTACACCAGCAATGCACAATCCAATTTCTCTACATCCTTGCCAATACTTGTTACCTTCTGTTTTTTGTTTTAATAGACATGCTAATGGGTGTGAAGTGGTATACAGTAAAAGTTGTTTTGCTTTGAAAAAGCAAAGTTTTGAAAGTTGTTTATACTTGCTCCCATTCTCTATTCAACCCACTCTATGTGTCCCCACCTCTCCACAGAGAAGCCTCTTTTAAAGTCACCAAAATCTTGATCATACTGAACCAAACAGTCACTATTCAGTCTTCAACTCATACAACTCCCATGCAGCATTTGACATAACTGAACATTCTTGAAACATTTTCTTCATTGGTTTTTTGAACATCACTTTCTCTTGGTTCTCCTCCCTCACTGGATATTCCTTCTCCAACCCTTTGCTGGTTTCTCTTCATCTCTGAGTTAACTTCTCCCTCTCACACCTCCCTTCTTCTCTCTACCTATACTCCCTTTGTAAGCTTACCCATTTGAAAGGCTTTAAAAACTATTTAGACCCTGACAACTCACAAATGTACATATCTACATCTGACCTTGCACCTGACCCCCAAACTTTTATACCCACTTTCTACATAACATCTCTGAAAGGCATCTCAAGGTCAACTTATCCAACATGTCCAAAAATGAACTCCTGGTCTTTCCCACCAAACCTGTTTTTCCCTTAGTTTTTACTTACTTCAATAAATAGCAACTCCATTCTTCTAGCTGTTCAGGTCAAAGGCTCTGGTGTTATCTTTGGATATCTTTATCCTATCTTTTTCTCACATTCTATATCCGTTCCATAACAAACCCAGTCATCTCTACCTTAAACTATATCCAGAATCAACCTTATTGCCCCTCTTTCAGAACTATCACACTAGATGATCTATAATCATCCCTTGCCTAGATTATTACTATAGATAGGCTCTTATCTAATCTTCTGCTTTTCCCCCCAGTTCTTAAAATTGAATCTCAACACACAAGCCTAGTCATTTAATCAGGTCCAGTGACCCCTCTACACTCAGATTCTGCAATGGCTTCCCATGTCACTCAGTATAAAAGCCTGCATAACAGTGGCACCCAAGGTCTTTCATGATCTGACCCTCTCCATCCCCTCTTTTTTTTTTTTTTTTGCTATTTACTTATTTATTCATTTATAGATATTTATTTATTTTGAGAGAGAGAGAGACAGAGAGAGAGAGAGAGATAGGGAGTGAGCAAGGAAAGGGCAGAAAAAGAGGGAGACAGAGAATCCCAAGCAGGCTCCACAGCTATCAGCATGGAGCCTGACAAGGGGCCCGAACCCATGAATCATGAGATCATGACCTGAGCTGAAATCAAGAGTCCGATGCTTAACCGACTGACCTATCCAGGCGCACCTCTCTTATTATTATTTTTTTTAATGTTTATTTATTTTTGAGAGAAAGAGAGAGAGTGAGTGGGGAAGGGTAGAGAGAGAAGGGGACAGAGGATCTGAAGTGGGCTCAGTGCTGACAGCAGCAAGCCTGATGCAGGGCTCGCTCGAACTCAACTCATGAACTCTGAGATCATGACCTGAGCTGAAGTTGGATGTTCAACCAACTGAGACACAAAGATGCCTCTCCCTTTCCTCTTATTCTTATAATCTTATCTCCTACTACTCTCTTCCAATTCATTCTTCTTCAGCCACACTGGCCCCCTTGTTATCCTCAAATAGACCAAGGATGCTTCTCACTGTTATGTACCATACACCCTTACATCCATCTTCTGCTCAAATATTACTATAGAAATGGAGCCATTTTGAACACCCTACACAATATAGCATCACCCTCTTCCCCTTGAACCTGTTTTTTTCTCTAAGGCACATATCACTATTTGATATTCTATACATTTACTTGTTTATTTGGCTTTAATTTGTTTCCTTTTGCTCCAATGAAAGCCATGAAACAGAGGCTTTGTTTTGTTCATTACTGTTTCTCTAGCACATATTTGCTCAACAAATATTAGTATAAAGAGAAAAAAGATAGATTTAGGTCCAGATAGCAATGTTAGTGGGTTAGTGGCTTTGCTCAGATGTGATCCTTCTTTAAGATGGGAGCCATGAGGGGCACCTGGGTGGCTCAGTCGGTTAAGCGTCCGGCTTCGGCTCAGGTCATGATCTCACAGTCCATGAGTTTGAGCCTTGCATCAGGCTCTGTGCTGACAGCTCAGAGCCTGGAGCCTGTTTTGGATTCTGTGTCTCCGGTCTCTCTCTGCCCCTCCCCTGCTCATGCTCTGTCTCTGTCTCAAAAATAAATAAAATCATTAAAAAATTTTTTTAAAAAGATAGGAGCCATGAGTTGGATATAGAACATTTATATCCCAAGCACATATTTTACTGAGCAACATCAAAGGTATCTTCAAGCCTCTGATAGTTGATATAATAAAATCTAGGAGGACAATCAAGCATACATTGCATGGACACTGTGTTACACAGAATACACAGAGAAGACACAGTCCTTCCCTTTCAGGAGCTTAAAATCTATAATCTGGCTACTATCTTTACTCATTTATTCAATCAGCATCTATTGCATAAGAAACCAAAACTGATTTCACTACACTATCAGAGGTATGAACAAAAGTACTTTAAACGAGCTGTCCTTTGAAATGTTCCCTAAACCAGTTGCTCAAAGACTTCTAAGACAGCTAACCAAGTCATTACAATTTCAAAGTGTTTTCTTCCACCAAGTCAGTGTGGTAAAACATTATCAACACTCGATGGAATTTCACTTGCATAAAGTTTTTATTAAATGGTAAACAGCACTGGGACACCTGGGTGGCTCAGTTGGTTAAATGACTGTGGCTCAGGTCATGATTTCAGGGATTGTGAGTTTGGGCCCTGAATTCGGCTCTGTGCTGATGGCTCAGAGCCTGGAGCCTAGAATCTGCTTCAGATTTTGTGTCTCCCTCTCTCTCTGCTCCTCCCCTGCTCACACTCTGTCTCTGTCTCTCTCTCTCTCAAAAACAAATAAAACATTAAAAATTAAAAAAAATTTTAAAAATGGTAAACAGCACTAAAGAGTTACTTGTATTTCTCTTCTAAATAATAATTCCATTCACATAATGTGAAAAATAACAGTACTTTCCCAACTAAGTATTTAAGTAAAGAAAAAGGGAATGTTTTTAAGATGAAAAGGTATTTTAATTTGCATAAGAATTCTAAATGTAGATCTTAAATCTTTGATCTTCAGGCATTAGTTATATTTTCACTGATATTTAAAAGATGGAAGACCCATTTTTGAAAACTTTAAATATACTAACTCATGAAATTTCTATATCTCTTTATAGCTTTAAAGTTGCTTTCATAAACATCATTTTACTAAACTCCAATACAAACTGTATGAGCCATACTGTGTTATCTTCACTTTAAGGTATTTTTTTTTGTCAACATCCTGTAAATATGCATTCATAATTGTCAGATTTACCTATTGCTCAAATGAAATGATAAAAACTACTTATTTCAATAATTACATTAACACCTACCATTTATTAATTGCCTCAGTTTTATTATATGTAAGATAAGGTCAATAATTTTACTTCCTTCAGAGGGTTGTTGAGAAATTGAATGTGCATTTTAAAAATAATACTTACCTGTCTGGTTTATTTTTCAGACAGAAGCTCAAATAATGGACTACCCATTTCAAAACCAGACTTAAAAACCTTAAGGAGATAATCAACAATGAAGGTCTTGGCACCTGGCTCAGTGTTAAAAGTAGCCCCATTTCTCTAGGAACAGCACATATGAAGAAATGACTCACTCATTCAAGAAATATTCATCAGCACAGTTCTAGGCGCTAGAGAGACATGGCAAAGAGAACGGAACTCTACCTCATGGACCTTAATGGGGAAGACAGGAAGGAAAAATGAAAGGAGGAAGAAGGAGGGGAGAGAGAAAGGAAGGCAATGAAAATTACAGATGGTGATAACTGCAATAAGGAAAATAAAACAAGACACTGTAATAGAGTGACGGGGGTGGTGTATGTTTGGCTTCCTTGGATTGGGAGATCAGGGATGGCTTTTCTGAGGTGGCATTTGCAATGAAACTAGAATAATGAGGAGGAAGAGCCAAGCATAAAACAATATGGCAGAAAAACATTCAAAGGAGAGTGTACAGCAGATGCAAAGAACCAAAAGCAGGTGGCCTTGGTTGTTAAAAGAATAGATAGGCCATAATGTCTGGGGAGCAAGTGACAGGCAGTGGCATGCAAGGAAGTCAGAGGGCAGGTAGGAGAGGAAATGACAGAAGGACTTGCAGCTCATGGTAAAAAGTGTGGATTTTACTCCTGGTACAGTGGCAGCAGTAGGATAGCCAGTGGAAGAAACAGGGTGTTTCTAATTGGAATGAACAGAAGCAATGCTTAAGACATGCATCAAATAGGAAAGCTGGGCAGCCAATAAAGCCCTGGAGCCTTATGATAAACAGACCTACTTATTGCCCCTATGACAACCTGAACTCATTTACTGAGTGCCAATTATAAGCCAACTACTGTGAATGTAAAATAACCAAGTTATGTCGAATTGTTTTTCAAACAGAAAGAGTTGGAAATAAAAAGACAATAGACTTCTGAAAAGAGCAGCAACTTGCAGTGGTCTTGAGAAAAGTTATAGCAGGCTCAAAACAACAAACAAACAAACAAACGAACAAACAAACTCTACCACATGAGAGTATACTATGGTTTCTCAACCCTGGCCCTATTGACATTTTGGACCAGATAATTCTCTGTTGTGGAGGGCAGTCCTGTGCATTGTAGGATGTTTAGTGTTGCATCCTTAGTTATGGCAACCACAAATGTCTTCAGATATTGCCAAATGCCCCTTGTGGGGCAAAGTTGCCCCTGCTCAAGAACTCACTGGTATAACTGACAGCTTTTAACCTTATACAACGTTGTGATACATGTTCTAAGATGAGTTGGAATATTTTAATTTCCAAGTTAAAAAACGTAGTAATTAGCGGGTAAAAAACATTGTGAAATGACTAGTTCCATCATCTCATTTATATTTAAGGGCGGACACAAATCTGTATTAAGCCCATTCTGTGTGTTAAGCATTGCTTTTAGGACTGTGAATAGATAAGTGATCAAGTAGATTTAAAAAAATCCTTCCCTATAGACCTGATACTCTCACAAGGGGAGGGAGAGCAAACAAAGAAATAAGAATGACATTTATAATGTTATAGAAAGTGATAAATGCATGAGGAAAGTTAGGAAGAAGAATAGGGAATGTCAAAGTGAGGCCAGGGTAGAAATTTGAAATAGGATAATCAAGAAAAGTCTCATCAAAAAGGTAATATTTAAGTAAAATATGAAAAGGAACAGGAAGAAGGGTCCCTGGGTGGCTCAGTTGGTTAAGCATCTGACTCCTGATACCAGCTTAGGTCACGATCTCATTGTTTGTGAGCCGATGTGGAAGCTCTGTGCTACCAGTAAGGAGCATGATAGGGATTTTCTCTCTCCCTCTCTGTCCGCCCCTCCCCTGCTCTCTCTCTCTCAAAATAAATAAACTTAAAAAAGAAAAAGGAACAGAAAGTAAGCAATGCAGAAACCAAAGGGTGCATCTAGTACAAACCCTGTAAAGCAAAACTGAGGCTGGGTTTGTGTGGAAAGCGGCAAACAGAGTGACTGGTCAGATATGACCAATTATGCTTCAATTAATCACTGATCTAGCTAAAATAAAGTTCTCTGATTGGCTTCATGGTCAGCTTTGAAATAGGAAATTCCTTGATATAGTTTCTTAAGGGATGGGGAACAGGAAGCACTTGTCCTGAGCACCTATAACTCTTTGAAAATGTAAAGTGATCCCAGCAATTGAAAAGTAATTCCAAATATTTTACCTATAAATAGCTCTTGAGGTGTATCTCAAATGGGGGAAATGGCCTTCATGTTCTCTTTTTTCCCATATTTTCCTTTTTGGTTTCATCTAAAATGAAAGAAAACTTTCTGATTAAAAAGCAGAGAAAAATACTGGTCCAAAGCTAATTATTTTTAGAAATGCAAACTACAATTTGATGAGACTGAGGTATATTATTACCTGATCAAAGAAATAGATGGGCCCAATATCCAAAGATTTGGCTTCAGTAAAGTCTTCCATTCTGCCATGAGACCTAAGAAGGAGAAATTAGAACTCTGAAGACAAGTTATCATGTTTATAGGTGATTTTTCAAAGCACTTTACACTTTGAAAGTTTAGATGTTTTATTTTCAATGAAATGTAAAAAAATTTGGGGTGGGAAATGCAACTGTTCTTTTATCTCTATCTTTGCTTCATAGGCTATCAACTTGACATAGATGCAATCAGAAAGATTGCATGCTATGGGCAAACAAAGCAATAGCACATCCCTGCCAAGTATCTTAACCTGGGCACTACTGACATTTTGGGCCATATAATTCTTTGTGGTAAGAAGCTACCTTGAGCATTGTAAGATGTTTAGCAGCATCTCTGGTGTCTACCTACTAGACACCAGTAGCATACCCTCCCAGTTATGGCAACAAAAAGTGTTCCCTGACATTGTCAAATATCTCTTGGGGATCAAAACTGCCCCTGGTTGTGAATGGCTGTGCCAATGCAATGGCCAGGGAAAAAGGTTTGACAGGGAAGGAACTGGTTAAGATAATTAACACTGCTGATGACAGGGCCATTTATAGCAATGCCATTCAAAATATGGTCTCTGGAGGCGGGGCCTCAGGATCACCTGGGACCTTGTTAGAAATGCCAATCCTCACTCAGACCTCATGTATAGTGTATCAGAATCTCCAGAGGTGGCATCTAAGAACTGGTGGTTGAACAAGCCCTCCAGGTTATTCTGAAAAATGCCTAAGTTTGGGAAGCATGGACTAAGAGGACACATTTTACCTAGTAGGCTGTGAAAACCCACTTGTGACTGGGGGTATTGGGGGGGAGTCTGGGGCTGGCTAAACCATAGCTAACTGGCCTAATGGATTTGTAGTAGAAGGATGAAGGAGCACACAGTGGAGGACTGAGTAGCAGCAACAACATCAATGGACTGGGAAATGGGATGGACTGAGGATCATTAGCTATTACTATTATTAATAAAGAAAAATTTCAGAGGCCCAGATTGGATTAGCGCATCCTTTAAGTAGGAGAATGTCTTTAAAATGAAGATTTGAAGGACAGCAAAACTCCTATTTATCTACACATCTCCATCTCATTGTCCTGCCACTGTAGCTGAAGATTCTACTTTAAGTGAATCCAGTATCTCAAAAATCCTTGGTTAAAATGTAAAAATACAGGCATTTATGTTGTAACATGTTATGTACATTCATGAAAAACCTTATGTCTTGCAATATTTTGCACTTAGAAATAATAGGGCTTATGGGAAAAACAGGGTTATGGTGCACCACTTAAAATCCATGCTACTTTGGAACCAGAGCACAAAAAAATCACACGCCAGTAATTGGCACCTGAGGAGAAACTTAAACGACCCTAGCAGGCGCTTGTAGCAGAAGCTGCTTCAGGGATATATTTTTTAAAAAATGTTAAGAGTAGAAATTCAAACTGATGGGTACTGAAATAATGTAGATGAAGTAGAGCTCCTTGCCAGTGGGGTTGCTTTAAGGCATGCACAGAGAGAAGTGAAACCTGCTACAGTGTGAGAGTGCTCATTTTTTATTTTTTATTTTTTTTAAGAGTTGAAAGATTTCTTGCCTGTGTCGCAGCTGAGCTGAAGGCCTTTTCCCACCCTAATAAAGGTTACAATTCTATTACCTCTGCTGTGGCCTCCTTTCACTAGAAAAATCAAGTATGAAAATTTGAGGATGACAAATTCCATGCTAGGCTGAGATCAGTCTCTCATTTAATAATTATTAGTTAATTTGCTTTATAAAAACACAAATTGTGGTCAAGCATGCTACAGTTGACCCTTGAACAGCATGGGTTTGAACTGTATGAGTCTACTTATAATGTAGAGATTTTATAGTACTATAAATGTATTTTCTTCTTTTTCTTAACGTTTATTTATTGATTTTTGAGAGACAGCAAGCTAGCAGGGGAGGGGCAGAGAGAGAGAATCCCAAGCAGGATCCATGCTGCCAGCACAGAGACCAATGTGGGGCTCGAATTCATGAACAGTGAGATCATGACCTGAGCCAAAACCAAGAGTCGGATGCTTAACCAACTCAGCTACCCAGGTGCCCTTATAAATGTATTTTCTCCTTATGATTTTCTTAATAACATTTTCTTTTCTCTAGCTTACTTTATTGTAAGGATATAGTATATAATATATACAACCTACAAAATAAGTATTGATCAATTATTTATGTTATTGATAAGGCTTCAGGTCAATAGTAGGCTATTAGTTAAGCTTTGAGGAGTAAAAAGTTGTAGGTGGATTTTCAGTTGTGTCGGGGGTCAGTGCCCTTACCCCCAGTGTTGTTCAAAGGTCAACTGCAGTTGATCAGTGAATTAGAACTGAGTCTAGAAATAAGCCCTCACATCTATTGTTAATTAATTTTTGGCAAAGGTGCCACAATAATTCAATGAAAGAAAGAATAGTCTTTTCAGCACATGGTAATGAGACAACTGGATATCTACATACAAAAGAATGAAATTAGATCCCTACATCACACCATATACAAAAATCAATTCAAGGGGTGCCTGGGTGGCTCAGTAGATTAAGTACCTGACTCCTAATTTCAGCTCAGGTCATCATCTCACCCCACACTGGCTCTGCTCTGATAGTGTGCAGTCTGCTTGGGATTCTCTCTCTCCCCTCTCTTTGTCCCTCCTATGCCCACATGTGCTCTTTCTCTCTCTCAAAACAAACAAATAAACTCTAAAAAATCAAAATGAATCAGAGAATGGGAAAAATAATTGCAAAGCATACCCTATGTAATAAGAATCTAGTATCTAGAATATATAAGGAACTCTTAAATTCAACAAAAAGACAAAAGATGAATGACTCAATTTAAAAATGGACCAAAGATTTGGAAAAACATTTCTCCAAAGAATATATGCAAATAGCCCATAACACATGAAAAGATGCTCACCATCATTAGTAATTAGCTAAATTACAATCAAAACCACTACATACCTATTGGGATGATTATAATTTAAAAAAAGACAATAATAAGTGTTGACAACATATGGAGAAATTAGAAACCTCATACATAGCTGGTAGGACTGTATAATGCTGCAGTTGCTTTTGAAAAGTCTGGTAGTTCATCAAAATGTTGAACATAGAATTATCCCATATGACTCAGCACTTGTACTCCTAGATATATATCCAAGAGAAATGAAAACATGTATGTCCACACCAAAACTTGTACAGGAATGTTCATAGTAGCATTATTCATAATAGCTAAAAAATAGCAACAACATAAATGTCTATTAATTGATGGATGAAAAATATTCTATAATTAAATAGCAGTAGTAATATATTAAAAACTACAGAATTATATCCTTAAAATGATGAATTTGTGACATGTAAATTACCACTTTTAAAAAAAGAGTACCCAAAAGTCTCTGCCAGTTCCAACTTCTACCCATAACAACCTAAAGATATCAAATTCCAAAGTTCAAGCCCTCAAAAATATCTGAGTGCCTTAAAAAGTACCAACCTTCTGTCTCACCAGTTGCTGCAATTTTCAGACCCAAGGAATATTAGAAATCTGTTGGTTCTGACTCCAAAATAACTTTGTACCAGAGTTCCGTTCAGAACTTCAAGACCAACTGATTCCATTCATGTCTTTTATTTTGGTCATCCTCAGTCACTGGAAATGTAAACTTGGAATTTCTGGATTAAGAGAGCCAGTTAAGCACCAAGTCGTCTACATTCTGGAATTTGTATAAAGTTAGAATGTCTTCATTTATAATTACCAGAAATTTAACAACACAGAAATATGATATCTCAGATGTTTGGAGGTAGAATAAGTAGCCTATGGATTCCAATTCAGTGGCTGAATGACATCACCAAGGATCCAGCATCATCCCATCTTTCTGTTCTGTGTTCTTCAGATTTCATCCCCAAGGATCATTTTCAGCTTTGAAAACACCTAAAAGAAGGGACCATATTTTCTTTTGTGTGTGTGTGTTTTTTTTAACTTAGGAAACGTTTTCCAGATGTTCTCAATGGGTTTTTCTTTTTAAAATTTTTATTTATTTACTATATATTTATATTAAACATTTTTTTGAGAGGCACCCAGGTGGCTCAGTCAGTTAAGTGTCCGACTCATGGTTTCAGCTCAGGTCGTGATCTTGCAGTTCGCGGGTTCAAGCCATGCCTCGGGCTCTGCACTAACAACATATTAGCATTATTCATATGACATATGACATATCATATGACAGAGCCTGCTTGGGATTCTCTCTCCTCTTTTTCTCTCTTTCTCTAATAAGTAAATAAACTTAAAAAATTTTTTTTGAGTATAGCTGACAATGTTACATTATTTCTAGGCGTACAACATAGTGATTCAACATCTTTATACATTATGCTGTGCTCACCACAAGTGTAGCTGCCATCTGTCACCATACAATGCTATTACAATATCATTGACGATATGTATTCCCTATACTGTACCCTTTTATTTTTTTAATTTTTTAAAGATTTTATTTTTATATAATCTCTACTTGCGATTGAGACTTGAACTTACAACCTCAAGATCAAGAATTGCATGCTCCAGTGATCAAGCCAGCCATGTGCCGCTATACCTTTCATTCCCAGGACTGATTCATTTCATAACTGAAAGCCTGTATCTCCCACTCCTCTTCACCCATTCTGGCCATTCCTTCCACCCGCCTTCCCTCTGGTAACCTTCAGTTTGTTCTGTTTATTCATTTGCTTTGTTTTTTAGATTCTACATATGAGTGAAATCATATGGTATTTCTTTTTCTCAGTCTGACTTATTTCGCTTAGTTTAATATCCTCCAGGTCCATCCATGTTGTTGCAAATGGCAAGATCTCATCCTTTTTGTGGCTGCATCACATTCCACTGTATGTGTATGTGTGTGTGTGTGTGTGTGTGTGTGTGTGTGTGTATATACACATATGTCAATAAACATTTAGGTTGCTTACATATCTTGGCTATTTTATTTATTTTTTAACATCACTTTTTTTTAGTTAATTATTTAATTTTAAAATTTACATCCAAGT